TTATGTACCAGGTGGTCACCTCCCTCAGCCTACCCCCAAAATGAGGATATTGTGGAGCAGGGTCCCTAGGCTGACCAATGAAAGCCAAGAAAAATGAGCAGGGGATAAATGTGTGTTGTCTTAGAACAGTATCTGGATTTTTGTTAGTTCAACATAACCTAGGTTCTCCTGACATACAGCATGTTATGATAAGTAACTCATGCCGAGGTTTAAGGGAATCTTTGCCTTTTCCTTCCAGTGAAAAGCCAAAAACCAGGGTTGGGCTGGATCTTAATCAGGGGAGTGTGAGCACGAGACATGAGACAGAGTTGCCCTCTTAGGAGAGGGGACAGTCCAGGGGACTCTGCTGTGTTGTTTAAGGTCTGTGGCTTAGGTTGTGCCTACCGCCCAGTGACCACTCCTGTTTCCGCTGTCCCTTGTCTGTCCCATCACAGGTGTAATAAAGGTGGCCATTATACGTGTTAATATGCTCAAGAGGAACCTCACAATCCTTCGCTACACTTACATAGTTGGGAATGTAGGAAGAAACACAGATAGTTTACCTTTAGGTGCTTTTCCCTCGGGCAGACAGAAGATCATAGCGGCAAAGCATACAAGGCGAGAAAGCGGTCACTTTCATTTATTATCTCCTTATGCGCAAACTTCAAGACTTTTCCACCCTACATTCTTCTACCTCATTCCCTCTTCAGTCTCATCTCATGCAATATGCACTTTGGTCCTCTGTTTTTACTTTCTGTCACCCGGGGAACCGCAGGGCAACCTTCTAATATCAGCTCACCTGTCCAGATGCCGTCATTGGCTTCTCGGAGTACATCGAATAATCGTATCATGCGCTGTGGTCACCGTATGAGTGTTTCCTTTGCGGCATTTACCACGATTATAACTTTTCCATTTGGTTTTGGAATTGACTGATTAGCGACTGCTTCTCTCATGAGCCTGCAAGCCACACGGTGGGAGGCGGCTTCGGTCACCTCTGTATAGTCGGCCACTAGCACCGCGCTTCACACGTGGCAGCACTCGACAGGTACTTGTTAAATGAACAGTGAATGCCGTCACCGTGGTGGTCATCTAACATACTCATCTTTTTTCAACCAATCAAGCCCCTGGGAGAGATAGGTAGCCAGGAGTTCATTTTCACGATGAGGATTGTGCAAAATATTTCCTTCAAATCACACACTTGTTGACGGTGGAGCCAGATTTCGAATCCGAGGTTATCCGACTTCAAAGCCGATGGTCTTTCCATGACGTGCTTCTGCCTCGCCAGAGACTAAAAGAAATGCTTTAATTCTGAGGGAGTTAATAATGCATGGGACCCGAATTGAATATAATTTTATGCTGTTCTGCTCCAGAAGAATTTTTTTATTATCCAGCTGTAGCTTTGAGCCTTCATCTCTTATCAAAAAGAGGTAATTATCTTCATTAGCAGGCAAGCCCATTTACTCCCCCATAACTTTGATACAGTTGATAAAATGACATTTTCTTTACTCCTTGCTCACTACGAACTACCATCTTCCAGAGCTGTCCAAGTCTGCGACCAGATAGCCAACTATTACTCACTTTTTCAGCTCCTCTGCAGCAATGCATCATCAGGCCCCAGCCAACAGTAACACAGGAAAACATATTGTCTCATCGTTAGTATCTCCAAATGTAGCTTCCACATTTGTTATTCCACTCTTGTTCCTAATTAAAAAAAGCTCATTTCCAATTCTCCTGATGGATATCTACCATTTCAATAATGCCCTTTATGTGTGTCTTGGAGTGTTCATCATTGTCTTGTTAACGCAGTTGTTTTCAAATAAAATGATAACTAACAAAATCCTCTCTTGACTTTTCTATTAAGTCTGATTATTTATTTCTACTCGGCATCCTTTCCTACCTGAAGCTATTATTCCACCCTGGCCTCATACACAGTGACATCTGCCATCTAAAACTCGATAGGGACGTTTTGCCTTTTTAAGTTCTTTATCACACTTTCTCCCTCTGCTTCGGCTGCCTGTCTGACTGGTATCTTTCCAGCAGCTCCCAGTCACTGTCCCCTTTTCCGCCTTACTCCCCCAGGCTGTTTATCTCACCCACTCAGCCTGCCCCACTCTTTGCGCAGGTCCCTGGAGGTCTAATACCTCTCATGTCATTCATTTTGCTCTCACACTCATTGAGCTTCTTAAGAACATCAGCTCATCTCTGTGATTTAATATCTAGTTCTTAATTTTATACCTAAAAGATAATACTTAAAGAAAATTATTCTTACCTCCTCAATTCTGTGTTTGAAAGGCATTTGATCCTATCGTAGTCACATTGATTTGCATTTTGAATTTGTTGCCATTTAAAATAAATTAAAATTTTGTCTTAGCTTATAATCAGATTAGAGTAGCAGCACGAATCCGCCTGATTTTAGAAATGTAGAGAGAGCCATTTGCTTGAATAATAGGTCAACTAAAATAATACCACTTTGAATGTATAGAGTAGGGCTAGAACCAGTATTTCTGTGATAATGACACTGCTTCTAAATATTAAAGCATTTGACCAAGAGGAAAATTCTTTTAATAGGAACATTAAATTCTAGGGAGCATTTTGCTTTTTTTTTTAAAGAGTGGGTGGAAAGCAGTGGGATGTACTTGCTTTTAGTGCTCAGAAAATGGGATGGGAGGTGAAGGACAAATAGCAGAGTACCTCTATGATGACTCCCACGGGCTTGGGTTGTTTGTGAGGCAATTAGTGTCATAATATGGGACATGCAAAACTCTGGTAACAGTGTCCTATTAAAGTCACAGAAATTAACCTCACTGAAATGTCACATGGAAGTTAAGTTTCTGTAATAGCATGAAACCAGATAAAAAATGGATTCGAGTTAGGGCTACTGAGAAAGAGGGGATGGGCCTAAATATATTTTACCTACCATTTCTATGCAAACTTTTAGTGGAAATCTTATTTCTAGAAAAAATAACTATATTTGCTTAAGATATTTATGAAATAGAAAGTGTAATGAATCAAGTAGAAACAAAATGTTCTTGTTAAATATGAGTTTGGTCAATACAGTTATCAGAATAATGTTTTTGGACTTTTAAGTAGCAAAATTGTAACGTACTAAATTATACCAATATACTATATTAATATGAGGACACTGTATTGGTCAATACAAGCTAAAATACAAATCAAATGTGAGTTCCACATTTTGAAATTGGACAGTGACAAAACAAAAATACAAAGAGAGGTGGCCAACATGGTATAGAATTTGGAAAGCATATTATGACTATTTATTCATTCATGTGATAAATTTCATCTGGTTCCCTGGCAGATATTGGAGATATAGTGATAAATATGACAAATGTGGCCCCTATCTTATAGAAGAAATGAAAAGACAGAAAATGGAAAATCACAGCGAGGTGATTAACGATATGGGAGGAAAAGCAGAGAAAATGAAAATATATAGAAAGAAGTTTAACCGAGGTTAGGATCAGAAGAGATGGTGTGTGGGAGGACCAGAGAGCGAAAGGAAAGGACTGAGTTATTCTCCGTGAAAGGCTTCGCAGATCCCCAAAACTTGGTGCTAAGAGGAACTGATAGTAAGTCAGGAAATTTGGTGAGTCATTTCATGGGGTAAGAGGAGGGAAGATAAAGCGGAGAGCCGTGGGCCAGCCCCTGAGCGCTCTCTGAGCCTGCACGGGGGCTGCATTTCATCCCGGGCGCCCCGGGCAGGCCCTGGCGGGCGCAGCTCCAGTGAGTGTGTCCCTGTCGGAGTCTAAATACCGACTACAGAGCCGTGCAGTGCACAGCCTGTGCGGCCGTTCACACTGGCCCCAATGGAAAGCCTTCCCATCGCTGCAAGAGGAAAGCACATGCACACATTTATTCATATATATGAATCCATATATTCACTTACGCATAAATCTTTATTATATACGTATTACATGACCAAAGCTGTTCTTATTGTTAGAGAGGTAGTCAAGGTCCCCATAACTGTGAAGCGTCCATTCTAGAACAGGGGATATAGAAAAAGAATTATCGCTAAGTAAACAAAATCATTTCAAGTACTGGGAAGTGTTATGAACAAAAGGAGATGACATTTGAGCTTAGATTTCAAACACGAAAAGGAGTTAAGCATGTGACTCCCTGGAGGCACAGGACATTTGGGAACAGAGGGCGCGAAGACCAGGCAGGGATGGGTTTTTGAGCAGTGTGCTGGATTCAAGGAACAGAAAGCAGATGAGTGTAACTAGAGCACACCCTCTGCAAGAGAAAGTGAACAACAGGAGAGCAGAGCGGTAGGCAGGGGCCAGCCCCACAGGGCCTCGTGGGAATGGCTGAAGGAAGTGAGAGAAAACAAGTGGAAATCAGAATAAATGTGTTTAAATATGGGGTGGTAATTCAGTTTTAAAAGGAAATTAAAGCGAATTCTATGTTGCTGCTCTCAACCAAATTAGGTGTAATGGGTGGCTGTTAAGAGGGAAAACTGGTTCCACGAACCGTCCGAGCGTGAATGGAGCCGCCTGTCTCCTGAGATGTTCCTGCAGAGTCAGTGGAAGGAATTTCCTCTCCGTGTGTGAGGCAGGGACAGTTGGCTTCTAAAGTCTCTTTCCCCTGTAAATGCTTTTAGCTCATCTGGGGGAAATCAGGTACACGAAGGTTTCCTAAGTCCAGCATCAGGTGCTTTTGTCAGCTGTGTTTATTGACACTTGTAGTGACAGTGCACAGAGGAGAATCTAGATAATGGGGAGGGCCACTGATTCTTGCTCCGAATCCCTGTTTTTTTTAAAACCCATGGGCTACAGACCCTGTGTTAGCATTGCTTCCAGGTAACATAATTCTGTCTTGTTTTCATAGGTCAGAGACCGAAAAATGTGGCAGTTTCCGACAAAAATACTATTTTAAATAGGATCGTACACTTTAAAACAGAAAATAAAACAACCCCTTTTCCACATTCCCAACTAAAAGCACTGAGCAGTTTGTTTCCTTCCCTTTTGTATCTCAAAGCTTATATAGTTTTTGATCTACTTTTCTAGATTACACCTGTCGATACGATCAAGACGGACATCATCATCTTTCTAAAGTTCCATTTACTGAGCAGCTAGTAATCTATTGTTTAGTTAGAGTCACGTGGAAGTTGTGTTTGGGGGTCGTTTCCTGGGTTGGCCATAGATACTGTTTCAAGCAACGGGTGCGAATGGAGGAAGATGACTCATGTGCACTGAGGGTGTCCTTAAGGGCAGGTGTCAGTGCCTTTCCACTGACCTTAGGATACGGACAATAGTTTTCATCTTGGTTTAAACAGTTCTGCTTGCATTTGGCCCCATGACCTCTCTAGCACCCTCTCCCACTAAGTAAAGATTCCAAGTTGAATTATTTGTTTTCTTTATATTTATACACCAATCTATTTAAGTTTTTGGTAAGAATTTTCTAAAATATACGGATCTAAAAATGTAAATATCTTAATTTTTCTGTCTCAGTGCAGCAGATAACAGAGGGATTGATTGTAGAAACTTCAGGATCCTGAGGCATGGGGACAGGAGGGCATTCGTAGATAGGCTACCTTTGCCTGAGGGGTTTAAAAAGGACATTTGTCAATGCTTTAATGAGGTGCTCTGCAAAGTTATTCTTTTCCCACTTGAAATAGTGTCTTCTATAAAATGGCATTTATATAGGAAACACTGCATTTTGACTTGATGCACAAATAGTTTCTCTAGATGGAAATGGCTCCTTAGGAATGCGGACAGCAGGATTCCTTTAGGACGGATGGATTGCTTTTAATCATTTTAGTTTTCTGCTTTTGTGACTCCTGCTGTTCCATTTTTTAGAATTCATTTGGTTTTACATTAGCTTGTGTCCATTTAGTACAAGATGAGAACAACGTTCTTTTGCCAGATCATCAACTTTTAGAGGACTCATCTTCACTAATAAAACAAAGGCGAGGATTATGTCAATTAGCCAAATCCTTGGAGCAAAGACTGAACTTTTTTTTGGCTATTAAAGGGCATTTTGAGCTGGACTGTCATGTAAACAATGGGCTCATGGCTTTGGTAAAGCACATTTTGTATTTTCTTTCACTGGCTGACAGTGGTCGTAGGAGCCTCCCCATACTTAAGTGAAGTTCACAAAGTTGACTTTGTGTGTTGAACTATTTTAAGGGAGCTCACTGAGCTAAAAATTAACAAACGATAAATGAACAAACAAAACCTGAAACATAAAAGTAAAACACACTTTAAAAAAAAATTATTTATTTATTTTAGAGAGAGGGAGAGAGAAGAGAAACATCAATTGGTTGTTCCACTTATTTATGAATTCATTGGATGATTCTTGTATGTTTCCTGACTGGTATGATGCTCTAACCAACTGAGCTGGCCAACCAGGGCCTGTAAAACAAACTCTTGAGCACAATTTTTTTTAATAGACATAAATAATGGCTAACTTATTAGATTTAAATATTTGCCTTGATTTTTCAAGCATGATATTCGGATTTAGTTTCTTAAGCTTTCTTAAAATAGTGCTGATTGCATTGATGTTTTAGCTCTATGTGCTATTATCTATACATTTTATTTCTTTTTCTGTTGTTTTGATTTTTTTAGATTGTAATATAAGAGGGCAAAGGTCGTGCCTTTTGTATGATGCATAGCTTGATGATATGAATTGATTATTGATAACTATAAGTATATATTTTAAACTTTCTTTAACAGTTGGAGCTTGAATATAATCTTCACTGTGCTTGAGAAAGTTTTCAAAAGGATTTTTATCCCTATAAAGAGAATAAGAGTCTATAAAACTCTTATCTTTGTGAAAAATTTCAGCTTTAAAAATTTAAATCATGGAAGAAGTTTGCATAGATTCATACTCCCTGTGCTAAAATTATGTTAAGAATGAAAAGTGCCTGAAAACAGAGATAATACAATGCAAATTGGTCTTTGCATGTCATTAACCTGACATCTATGATGTGCCTTGCTCAATTTCAATATTTAATAAGTGTCCAATTTCTTAAGTGTGAATAAAAATTAGAAACAATAACAAGTAAGTTACTTTTCAATAAATAGACATGTCCTAGCTGATTTAAGAATAGTAATTGGGTGTAGCATATTAACTGAATGGCCTAGAGCAATTTTATAATAATCTTCTAAGAGCTTAGGGGGGAAAAAAAAATCAACACTTTATTACTTTTAACACACTGCAGTTACTGCTTCTCTTAATTCATTTTAGTGCGCTGTCAATAAATTTCACTCCATTAGATGCTGAATTTAATTAGCTTCAGGGTCACAATTTATGTGATTTCTAAGTTGTGTGCTATTTACAATGTTTCGTAAATGTTACCTATGGCGACATATATTTAATCTATAGCAAGTAGTGGACAATTATTCTTCATTCCTTGGATATTAAGCACTCAGTAGTGCTATTTCTAGCTATTTTCTGGACTCCTCTGCTGTAATGTTATATGAGAACAGGACTGACTACCTAATTTGTGATTCCTAATGCAGAATTAAAACATGGGACCCAAAATATTTGAAGATGGCAACAGCAGAGCATGAGAGCAGGGTTCTTTTGAGCTTGGTCTCTTGTGGGTGGCTAGGTTATATACCCTTGAAGCCAGCCCTTTGTGTGAGTATAAAATTTTCAAACTTAAAGCAATCTCTAATATGTAAAAGTTATATTCCTGGTAAATATTATGGCTGAATAAATAAGGGTAACCAGATATTGTCTCCGCCCCCCTTTTATAAAGGCAGGGACTTTGCATTCTCTTTGACTTTTAACAAAGGTGACTTCGGTTCATGAAGTAGTCAGACTAGTTCATAGGAAAAGCTAAATTACCCCTTGATCAAATGTTTGATCTGAAGATCTATATCCCAAACTAGATGACTCCAGTAACAGACATTATTTCTGAATTTCCACGTCCTGTTCTGAATTAAGGGTCTATTCATGCTCAAGGGCTTTCTTTAGAACTGCGGTGTGGGGAGGAATTCTGGTGGTCTGCCTGCTCTCCATTCTTCGGTCCTTTTCTGGTCATAGTAATACTGGCAAGATGCCTTGCTGACAAGTTATCTTTACAGCCTCCTTGAGGACACACATGACCTCCCTTTTCCCTGCCTGTAGCGATTGTAAGGCTGAAGCGGCAGCAGTTGTCTTGGAGTGATGCAGCGACCTTGAGAATGGTAGACATAGCTTATGGTGAAACAGATAGACAAAATAATCCTGCTTTTTTTGATGACGTTAAAGAGGCGGTAAACCATCCCAGGGTTGCCTGGTAAGAGATAAAATAGAAAGGAAAGGTAATATAGGTTTTCAAACCCACTAAAGTGAATGCCTGCTTAACTGCCTGGAAAATTTGGGAAGACAAGCAAGTATCTACCCTGAAAGAAATGCCTTGCAGACTGATGTTGCTCAGCCCCACTGCTAATTAGAGGGAACGTTGTTCTTTGACTTTTTCCACCTTTAAGAATAAGAATGTTAGATTGAATTCATACACTATTCCCCCCCACACACATAATATCTAAGGATAAGGTTTGATTTAAAAAATTAAGCTCAGTATTTTTTTTTTAAGTAGAATTGCTTTATTTCTGAAAATGTAGAAGGATACATAATATTAGTAACATGTATTTTCTTTCATTGATTTTGGAGAGAGAGGAAGGGAGAGAGAGCAAGAAAGAGAGAAAAACATCAATGTGAGAGAGAAACATCAATTGGTTGCCACCCATATGTGCCCGGACTGGCTGTTGAACCCACAACCTGGGCATGTGCCCTGATCATGACTTGAATCCATGACCCTTCAGTGCACAGGATGACATTCCAACCAACTGAGCCATACAAGCCAAGGCAACATGCATTTTTTTGAGTTAAACCTACATGTTCCACCTGCCAGAAAGCGACATTAAATTCTAAGTCACTGTTGCCCAGAGAGTATTTGGTTACACTCTAAATTTCATACTTAGTGTTTCTGCTATTTATTCATTTTCAATATTTTAGTGGAGTTGTGTCCAGCTGAGATAATACATTTCTTTCTCAACAGGATTCTGTAGTAGACTGCTGAAAAGTATAATTTCACATATGTCTGATAAAAAAAAGGAAAGCAAAGCTGCAGATGATAAGAGATTAGACGAGTGCAGGCTTCTAAATAGATAGAGTATATATCCTTTATCAGTAGATAAAACTTCAATAACTACTACCCTCTTAATTTGAAAAAGGAAGAGATTTCCAATTTCAAAACACTTCTAGATGCATGAAATATCTAAAAGCAAGTCAAATAATGCAACCTACTCAGAGCTTCAAACTCAAAAAATACAGTAGAAAACTAAAATCATAAATATATCTTAACCTATACTCTGAATACCTAAAGTGCTATAAAACTTTTTTGTGATTAAATCTATGTATACACACATACACGTGCAGGCAAACACTTTATACACATACTAGAAAACTTTGAAAATGCAACAAGACAAAAGAAGATAAAAATTTTATGAATAATCTGCCATTTTTAATGGATAATATGAATATGCTTTTATAAATATAATTATGTATATTTATAACACTATCATCCAACTGCATATTGCTTAACACTAACAAAAGTTGCATGATTCAGATTTGTAATTTTATTTTAGCATTTTGGTAGAGTTTTGGAAACAAATAGAGCACAGGCAATCTGAACATAAACCATTTTTTTCTCTACTCCCAGCCCCGATCAGCTGGCTTCTCCCGAGCCTCATGGTAGTTTGTGCCTTCAGGCGAATGAGTGTAGGCAAGTAAGGCCTTGATTTTGTTGGATTTATATAGAGAGAACTGGCAGCTGGCAGCTTTGAGAATAGTATGGAAGACAGAGCATCATAGTACATGATTGGATCTTGGAGAATTATAGAAACTGTAACATTAGCCTTGTATGAATATATCTGGTTACTCTGGGCACAAAGCCAATGGACAGCTGGGCCAAGCCTCCTCAGACCTAAGGCATAGATGATTTAGAGAGACCAGAATGAATTCTTTGGAGGGGTTCAGAGAAGCCTGGAAACCTGTCTTTTTACTCACTGCTGCCCATAAGGAAAGTTGTTGTTTGGTCTCCCGGGCCCTGTGTG